TAAGCTGATGAGGAGCTGGTAGTTTAATTTTTGTACGATGATATGAGTAGGCCTTACGTATCTGCTGAAGTTCACATAGCCTTGCTACCCATAATGTATTATGATCTAGGCTGAATTTTAGTTTCGATCTCGTCATCAGCATCTCCAGCTGGATTCAGATCGTGATAGTACAGTGTCTAATCTCGTCACGCTAAAAATTACGCCACACTGCCAGACATACCCTTGAGTTGCTGGGAAGATGTGCATTTCAAGGAAGCTCATGTCTTTCTCATACCACATTCGTATGTGGAATTGTCGACGAAACAAGGTTGTATTTGCCATATAAATCAACTAAATAACGTATCTTTTCGTTTATTGGTAGGCTTTCGAGGATACCAGTAGGTTACATACATGAGATGTATTTCGTATATGGTCAACACTTCCCATATATACTTAATAGTTAAACTAGTCTGCTCTAACCTATTAGCCTTTATGAAATTACCGAATTTTCGTTCTTCTTAGGTAAAAGATTTTAACCTTTAAGACTTTTTAATCCACCTAACTCTATGAGATTCTTGAGATATTGCCATCTTGGTCTTTCTATCTCCATACTGGTCTCACTTTCGTTTATATTCTGATTTATCTCTTCCTTTAACCAGCCCTGCCAAATGGACCACTCTCTCTTTTGGCAGCTCTTGATGGCCAGATATATCTTCTCAACGGGCTAACCGTGTATTCGACCACATTGTCAACTACTTCGGTTCACCTTATGGCTTACATCAATTTCACAAGCCAATCGCATGCCCTGCGGGCCTACTTTTTCCCCGATGCACTTGTGTGTGAGTCATTTTGCTCTCCTACCCTAATTCAATTATTTTACTTCATTTTACCTCGCATATCCAACATCTTTACATCCTAACTTCTTATCTTTTCTAGACACTGCTCCTCTATTCACTTAACTTGGATCTCGTGTGTTATCCTCACTCTGCCCTTACACACGAAACTTATAAGTATTTACATGATCATGGGTTCAAAGGTAAAGGCCACATCATCTTTTTCTTCTGATTTAGTTTTATTCACAAATTTATATAGAACTATTTCTAGGACCCTTTGCTATTGGTCATAACCTTGACACGAGGATACAGTCAGCCAGTATACTTTTTCAAAGAGCCTTGCTACACAATATCTCTTGATCAAAGGCATTTGACCGTAATAATTATCAGTAAATATAGGTCATAGTAGATAGGCTCTGAATGACATAGCTATAGTCTTATTCATTTGTTGTGTTATGTATTCCCTTCATTTAAGCATGGATAGGCTCTAGTGCCTCTTCTCTTTTAATGATTCATATTGAATTTATGTGCTTTTTCACTTTATAAGCTTTTATTGCCAGAAAGATTGCCGAATAGAAGTCTCCTGAGTCCTTTGCTACACGCTGGATCCTAAATTACATGCTATCCCTTGCCTCTTAAAGGCATTATATCGTCGTGTTTCGATTCAATAGTTGCTCAGATGAATCTTTTATTGTTCTTCTTGTTCTCTAATATCCTATACCACGTAGCCCCAACTCTTCAGTCGGTTCCTTCTAATGATGTCCCACCTTGCTTGCCCAGGGGTCTTCTCCCAAAGACCTTAAATGCACATAATGGACAGATACAGCCCATTGCCAGCTGCAGCTTCCTCTGCCTACCTTCTCCATCTCACGGAAGCGATAAAAATATTGAATCTGCCTCCACCACTACAACGAATAATACTGGCAGGAGCTACACTTGCGTCTGCCCCACTGGAGTGTCTACTCCGACTATTGCTTCAACTGGTCAATCCGAGGTAAGCTATGGAGACGCATCTAATATTAACCTTTTATTTTTATGTGAGCTTACATATAGAATTTTGCTCCAAAATTTGTTGTTGAGCTTAATTACATTTAGAATAAAAATATTCGGTGAAGTGATTCGAAGTTGATCCCACCGGAAGACGATCGTCAGCGGATTTCTCTTGACCAGCTGTCGATTGGCCTTACTAGAACATCCTTCTTGCCGCTTTTTCCGAGGCAATCTCGTTCGATTCGGGTGAAAATGTGCTAAGCTTTCGTCCGTCGTATTACGGACCTCATCAGAGCAGGGTATCATATTTACAGTCATATTGGAGCTGACGAGTCAAGAAAATTCGCCGGCTCATCCCTAAATTCAGTCTATATATCCTAAATATAAGCTCTTCGATGAAGTATAGAGTGCTTTGGTTAGTTCAAGTCATGTCAATATCAACGCACATGGATGTCTCTCTCTCTCTATTTGTGTTAATGTGCCTGAATGTGTTCGCATACGTGCAAAACCAGCAGTAATGGCTCAAAGTAATTAGAACAGAAAAAGTAACGTCTGTTTTTAACCATCAAGTTTTGATGACCACTATCACTCCATCTCTCTGAATATTTTAACCATCACTCCGATTGCACCAGGTCGAACACATGTTTGGTTATGTTTATCAGCTTTTTGTATTCACGTGAAAGAGAAAGAATGGGCCAGAAAGTATAGAGAAGCGACCGGGATTTGAAACAAGACAAGAAAAGAAAAGACCAGTTGCGTCGCCTCTGTTTTGCAGGCCTTGAGTCTATCAATGAAGCATAAATAGTTCATACTTTACTCCTTTTAGGTATACCTTACATTCAATGT